GGGTAAATAGGGCCTCAGCGGTTTGTAGGGCAGTAGGGAGACCCGGCATGGGAAGGAGACGACAGGCCTTGGAAAACCGATCCACAACGACCAATATGGTGGTATTCCCCTGGGAGGGGGGTAGGTCAGTTACGAAATCCACCGATAGGTGGGACCATGGTCGTTGTGGAACGGGCAGGGGATGTAGCTTACCCCTGGGCAAATGTCTAGGCGCCTTACACTGGGCACACACCGAGCAGGAGGAGACATAAACCCTCACATCCCTAGCTAACGTTGGCCACCAGTATTTCATGCTAAGACAGTGCACGGTCCGGCCAATACCTGGATGTCCAGAGGAGGGTGATGTATGAGCCCAATAAATAAGACGATCACGGACCTCGAGCGGAACGTACGTCCGCCCCACAGGACACTCGGGGGGAGTAGGGTCGGTACGCAGTGCCCGCTCGATTTCCGTATCGACCTCCCATACTACCGGAGCCACCAAACAAGATTCCGGCAATATGGAAGTAGGCTCGTTGGACCTCTCCTCCGTGTCATACCGCCGGGACAGGGCGTCTGCCTTACCATTCTGGGACCCTGGGATGTATGTGATCTTAAAAACAAACCGGGTTAGGAACATATTCCACCTAGCCTGACGAGGGTTCAATCTCCTAGCTGCCCGGATGTACTCAAGGTTACGGTGATCAGTCAGAATGAGGAAAGGGTGTTGAGCCCCCTCAAGCCAATGCCTCCACACCTTTAGGGCTTGGACTACGGCTAACAGCTCTCTGTCCCCAACATCATAGTTGCGCTCCGCCGAGCTGAGCTTCTTCGAGTAGAAAGCACAGGGGCGGAGTTTAGGTGGCGCGCCGGACCGTTGTGACAGGACTGCCCCAATACCGGTCTCGGACGCGTCTACCTCAACCTGGAATGGTAAAGAGGGATCCGGATGCGCCAGCACCGGAGCCGAGGTGAACAGGTTCTTAAGTTTGACAAATGCCCTGTCCGCCTCAGCCGACCACCGCAAACGAACCGGACCCCCCTTTAGCAGGGACGTAATGGGAGCTGCAACCTGTCCAAAACCCCGAATAAACCTCCGGTAGTAATTAGCAAAACCCAAGAACTGTTGCACCTCTTTTACAGTGGTTGGAGTTTGCCAATTACGCACGGCCGATACCCGGTCTACCTCTATCTCCACACCAGACGCGGACAACCGATAACCCAAAAAGGAGACGGACTCCTGGAAGAACAGGCATTTCTCTGCCTTGACATACAAGTCATGCTCCAACAGTCTTCTCAACACTCGGCGCACCTGGGCTACATGCTCGGCTCGAGTAGCAGAGTACACTAGGATGTCGTCGATGTAAACTACTACCCCCTGCCCATGCATGTCCCGGAAAATCTCGTCAACAAAGGATTGGAAGACTGACGGAGCATTCATTAACCCGTATGGCATGACGAGATACTCGTAATGACCCGAGGTGGTGCTAAATGCTGTCTTCCATTCATCCCCCTCCCTAATGCGCACCAGATTGTACGCGCTCCTGAGATCCAACTTTGTGAAGAACCGCGCTCCGCGTAATGATTCCGTCATCGTCGCAATCAGTGGAAGTGGGTAGCTGTATTTAACTGTGATCTGATTGAGACTACGATAATCAATACACGGGCGCAATCCCCCTTCCTTCTTCTTCACAAAGAAGAAACTCGAGGAGACTGGGGAAGTAGAGGACCGTATGTATCCCTGTGCCAAGGACTCGGCTATGTATGTCTCCATAGCCGCTGTCTCCTCTTGAGACAGGGGATACACATGACTCCGTGGAAGAGCCGCTCCTGTTTGGAGATTTATCGCACAGTCCCCCTGTCTATGAGGAGGTAGCCGTGTTGCCCTCGATTTGCTAAACACGAGTGCTAAATCCTCATACTCGGGGGGAATGCGCAGTGCGGGCACTTGGTTCGGACTCTCTACCGAGGTCGCCCCTACGGAAACACCTAGACATCTCCCTACACACTGAGCAGACCACTCCATAAGAGCCCTCTGTTGCCACGCTATGGTAGGATCATGGGTGCTTAACCAAGGAAGGCCCAACACCACGGGGTACGCAGGAGAGTCAATCAGATAAAACTGAATGATCTCCTCATGACCCCCCTGCGTCGTCATCGTCAGTGGTGCTGTGACCTCCCTGATCAGGCCCGACCCCAACGGCCGGCTGTCTAATGCGTGGACAGGAAATGGATCGTCTACCGGCCGAAGGGGAATCCCTAACCTACTACAAAATGCCCGATCAATAAAGTTCCCAGCTGCGCCTGAATCTACTAGCGCCTTATGCTGGGAATGAGGTGCCACCTGTGGAAACCTCACAGGAATACTCATGTGACCAACAGAGAGCTCTGGGTGAGTGGGGCGCCTACTCACCTGAAATGACTCCCCAGTGCGTGGCCTGTTGTCACCTCTCCCAGGAGACCCTCCCCAGCACCTGGCCGCAGTGTGTCCTCCACGACCGCAGGTGGTGCAGGGGATGGCCCCCCTCGGGTTCCCTCTCCTCCTCTCTCTAGCGCCAGCACCCCCCAGCTCCATGGGAATCGGCTCAGGGGTGCTGGAGGGTGGACTGGACGACCCCCACTCGGGACGTCCGTGGGTAGCCAGCAGGGTATCCAGACGGATGGAAATGTCCACCAACTGGTCAAACGACAGGTTGGTGTCCCTGCAGGCCAGCTCCCGACGAACGTCCTCTCGTAGACTACACCGGTACTGGTCGATGAGGGCCCTCTCATTCCACCCCGCATCTGCCGCTAGTGTCCGGAACTCCAGTGCGAACTCCTGTGCGCTCCTCTTCCCCTGTCGGAGGTGGAATAGACGCTCTCCCGCCGCTTTCCCCTCAGGGGGATGATCGAAGACAGCCCTGAAGCGGCGGGAGAACTCCGCGTAGGTGATGGTTGCGGCGTCTATTCCCCTCCATTCGCCGTTGGCCCACTCCAACGCCTTGCCGGAGAGACAGGAGATGAGGGCGGAGACGCTCTCGTATCCCGAGGGCGCCGGGTGTATGGTGGCAAGGTAAAGTTCTACCTGCAGGAGGAATCCCTGACACCCGGCTGCAGAACCGTCATATGCCCTCGGGAGTGAGAGCCGAATGCCACTGGGTTCCGGTGCTGAGAGAGGAGGACTGGCCGTTGGTGATGCGATGTTGTAAGGGTCCTTGGCCACCTCAGGGTTCACCAATCGGCGCAGAGTGTTGGACACCTCGTCCATGGCGGTCCCGAGTTGCCGGATCATGGCGTCCTGGAAGTTGATCCGGTCCAGCAGGGATTCGGGTGCCGCCGCTGTTCCTGCTGACTCCATGATGGTGTGTTGTTCTGTCACTATTCCGTCGTGGATGTGGTGGAGGAGTCAAGCGCAGGAAACAGAGGTTTAGTCCAACAAGACTTTTAATAGTCTCAATAACACGAGAACAAAACCTTGACCTCGAAAACACGAAGTGGCGAGGGAAAATTACGCACACGCGTAAAACACTAAACATGAAAAAATGACACGGAAAACAAACACGTATCATCGACACAGTGGCAACAGAATAACAACACACAAATACCCTAGATCACAACACGGAACTTATAAGACACGTAATCAACTCCCAAACAGACACAGGTGTGACAGACAGACAAAAGCAATCAAACACAGAAACATAGAGCGGTGGCAGCTAGTACTCCGGGGACGGCGAACGCCGAAGCCTGCCCGAACCAGGAGGAGGAGCAGCCTCGGCCGAAACCGTGACACTTATGTAAATGTGATATCCGTTTTTTTTTGGTGAATATATTTGCAAACATTTCTAAACCTGTTTTTGCTCTGTCATTATGGGGTATTGTGTGTAGATTGATGGATTAATTTTTTAGAATAAGGCTGTAATGTGGAAATAGTCAAGGCGACTGAATACTTTCCCAATGTCCTCTTTTTTTGTCTTCATTTTAAGGTTTTTTCTTTGTTTCCCAACATGGCTAAGAGTTCATTTTAGGCTGTGCTAAAAGTGTGGTTGTACATCTAAGTTCCTTGTGTAGTATGGTTCCTTAGCTAACCCAGTTTCCTTCTCTGCCGCTCTTGTCTCAGGAGAAAGGAGTCAGGGTGCCGCGACCCTTCTCCAGTGGACCAAGTGCCTTCATTCCAAAGGAAGAGGTGAGAAAATGCTTTCTTTCTCTGTCTTGAGGCTATATTTCCCCCTGTCCTGCTTACACTCTCATTTTCTTTCAGTCACTTTCGCTTAATCTCTCTCGCTTTTTCCCCTTTGTCTTTATCTTCCCCTAGCCTCGAATTTAGAGGTGTAAACCATGTTTTAGATTACTGCAGCAGCAGTATCTTTACTGTAACACGATTCAATACACATTGCCTAACTGAAACCCCTCTTCCCTGTCCTGCCTGACCCCTTCCCCCTATCCCTCCTCCCTGGTTCCAGATTGTGGAGGAGTCCCAAGTGGACCCCCTCACAGAGCAGCTCCTAGCCGAGGCCTACACTCCGTCGGGCCGCGTGGACCACCTGACCCAGGTGATGGGACTGCACCCCCACTACCTGGAGTCCTTCCTGCACAGCCAGTTCTACCTGCTGAGGATGGACGGCCCCTTGCCTCTCCACTGCCGACACTACATTGCCATCATGGTAAACACTGGAGTAGGATGAACAAGAGGTTATCATTGGGTGTGTCTGAAATTGCATCATATTTCCCTATATAGTGAACTACTTTTGACCAGAGCCCTGGGAACTCGTCAAAAGTAGTGTACTATATATAGCATGCCATTTCAGACGCAGCCATTGTTCCCTGTAATGGTGGAGGTTAGGATATGTTTATGGTAAGCTGATCCTACGGGCAGCTTCTACCTGCAGCTGCATGATACAGGATAGGTCAAGCTAAGCCGAGGGGGATGTCTCCTGCATAGATACGTCCTCCCTTAGATTATCCCTCTCCCTGCTCAGGAGACCTACCTAACACAAATCTCCTACCTATTCATATCTACTATTGACCCATTTCCCTAATAACCAATGGCTGTCCCGAAGTGACGGATTATGTTTTTCTGTATGGCGTTTAAACTTTCGTCTCAGGGCTGAGATTCCCCTGGGGGGGTGCAGGACTGAGGAGGCTTCTGTAGCTAGTAGAGAGAGAGTGAGAGAGAGTGGAGACATTTAGCAGGGCAGTGTTTGCCCTGTGCTTAGGCACACTGGCCACTCAACAGCTCCGTCTGTGGAGCTTTGTTATGTAGCCAACTCAGAGGGTCCCTCCCAACCACCCTGACCCCAGACCCAGCCCACCTCACCCTGTTCCTGATGTGGCCCACAACTAGGTCAAAGTCAGCCCCCTCACTCTTAATGAGACAGCATGTTATGTCAGGAGGAACAGCTGAATGCAATGCAGTGTTAAAGAACCATGTGGAAACTATGTAATGCTTAGAATTAACAGTATACAACATGCATATAAAAAGTTAATTTAGTATAGATCATGCATGTACAGGCACGGTATGCTTTAATATTAGTCTGCTATGCCTGCTACATGCTGAATGGCAACTAAAACAGGACTGTAAAATACCGTACTACCCAGAATATAGTGTACAGAACAAGAATATAAAGAGTTTAGACAGTAGAAAACATACAAAGTACATGCAGTAAAGGAAGAGTTTTCCCAGTAGGCTATAAAAAATGAAAGCCTCCCCTCTCTCTCTCTCCAGGCTGCAGCGCGTCACCAGTGTTCCTTCCTGGTCTCTCTGCATGTGCGTGAGTTCTACAGGATGGGGGTGGTGTCTGGACTGGCTGAAGGGCCTGCAGTACGTCCCTCAGAGACTGAGGAACCTCAACGAGATCAACAAGCTCCTAGCACACAGACCTTGGCTCATCACCAAGGTGCACATTCAGGTTAGAACACAAACATGCATAAAACACTCATATTCAAGTACATTATTCACATATGCACATATGATATCTATATCTATTCATAAACACAACTTTTATCCACATACGCACACAAAGTAACTCACAGTAAACCTCTTTCTCTCTCCCCCTCTACTTCAGAACTTGGTTAAGACAGGGGAGCACAGTTGGTCTTTGGCAGAGCTGGTCCATGCTGTGGTCCTATTGGCCCATTTCCATGCCCTGGCCAGCTTTGTGTTTGGCAGTGGCATCAACCCCCAGGTGGACACACCAAACGCCAATGGCTTCCAGTCAGTCTACATCAGCAACTACTGTACATGTGACCTGGCCAGCGACCATCACCTGGACCGAGATCTCAGCAGCACTAGCCCAGAGGTGAGATGACATGCATGACTTACTGTTGATCTATGCTTTACTTAGTTGATTTAGCTACGTGTGTGTTTGGAGGGATTGTATCTAAGTATGTGTAACTCTATTGTCATAATAATAGAGTTCTGGTTTGTTGTGTGTGTGTTTTCAGACCACAGACTCGGTCAGTGAGTTGGAGGCGCTGATGGACAGAATGAAGAGGCTGCAGGAGGAGAGAGAGGAGGATGAGGCCTCGCAGGAGGAGATGGCCACACGCTTCGAGAAGGAGAAGAAAGAGAGCCTTCTGGTGGGCTCTGGAGGTACTGCAACCACACCTGTTCCTGTTGTCTCTCTCTCTCTGAGTGATGAAGTGATGACTGATTATGATCCATCTCTATTGTGACTCTGCAGATTTGGAGGATGAGGTGATGCCCACATCCAAAGTGTCTCGGTTTGTGGAGGATGCCACCTTTGGGTACCAGGACTTTGCTCGACACGGGGAGGACAATCCACCAACATTTAGAGCACAGGTCGGTGATAACTTCATCTTAATTCCACTGTCATGCCATAAGTGCAAGACCTATAGATTCAACAGTCACTTCTGAACAACTTCGCTCCTTCTCTCTGTCTCTGTCTGTAGGACTACTCGTGGGAGGACCATGGTTTCTCTCTGGTCAACAGGCTTTATTCAGACATCGGGCTGCTGCTGGACGACAAGTTCCGGACAGCGTGTGACCTGACCTACTACAACATGGCCAGTCACGAGGACGTGGACACCACCATGCTCCGACGTGCACTCTTCAACTACGTGCACTGCATGTATGGCATCAGGTAAGGCATCAGCGCCCTCTATCCTCAGTGCATGAGAAAAAAATAAAAATAAAAAAATAGAAATGTATGTGTAAGTGTGGACACTTAGCATCAATCAAGATAGTGTGATAATATTTAAATGAGTGAGTAAGTGATTATTGAAGCCCTGGAGTAGTCCGTAGCAGACCGTAAAGTGATGCTCCAGGCTTGATGCTTGATGTCCTGTCTGCAGATATGATGACTATGACTATGGGGAGGTGAATCAGCTATTGGAACGCAGTCTGAAGGTCTATATAAAGACCGTAACGTGTTATCCAGAGAGGACCACTCGTCGCATGTACGACAGCTACTGGAGGCAGTTCCGCCACTCCGAGAAGGTTAGAAAACTGCAGATGCTCGTGTTTGTGAGGGGGTATAATCTTATGGTGTTTGTGTACATGTGAATCCTTTGAAAAACAACCCTTTGCTTTGCCAAAGCATACACTGTCAACAGCCACAAAAAGGATCTTGTGAACCCTGATATGTCTTTGTAACTAGGCCAGAGTTCAGTGGCAGGGCTGGTCATGCTGTTAGATTGTTTGTGCAGGAGGCTTTGGCTCATGAGTACACTAGACTATTGAGCAGAGCTGGAGGAAATGAAGCTCTTGGCAGCAGGAACATGCTGTTATTGTGTTTGAGTTGCAGAGAGCCCCCCTGTTGGAATCTGACTGGGCTGAAAGAGATGAAAGACGAGCGAGTTACACCGTGTATTATTCAAACCAGCAGCATAGAAATGGGTCATTGTCTTGTACTTAAAGCTCAGGTCAAGACAACCTGGAACAAACATCTCATCCCAGACGTAATGAGGACAGTAGCGTTCACCTCAGTTAGTAATTATGATGTCTGTACAAACCGCTTTTCCTTCAGACCCCATTAAAAAGTATTATCTCAACAGAATCTCTCACTTGGTTTACATATCAGACTCAGTGATGTCTCTTATAGCCTTGTGCTACATTCTGGCAAATACATATCCATTTTACAGCTCAATGGCTGTCTCCATACTACAGTCCATACCATTCCAGTTTATATAAAGTAACTGCACTGTGTTATAGTATGTATGGTATGCTAATCCTCTGGCCACCCTGCCCCCTCCAGGTCCATGTAAACCTACTCCTAATGGAGGCCAGGATGCAGGCAGAACTTCTATACGCCCTGCGCGCAATCACACGCTACATGACCTGACCCTGACCAACCACAGCGGGCCATCTGTCTCCAACTGACCAATAGAAACCCCAGCCCTCATCACCCCACCTCCCCCCAACACCACTACTGGCCTCTGGGAACCAGGAAACTGTCTCTCTACCAGGCACATGTCTCTAACACTGGCCTCTTGCTGGTTGGGACTTTGAGGTATTTTTAGCTTAGTGCCCTTTTACAGAGGAAGTAATGTGAAGATGAAGGAAATCCTACTGTGAGTGTATAAAAATTGTGAAAACAGGGGTGCACGTTTGACTTCTCATCCTTCTTTGCCATAATCATAATGCCAGTTTGGCTTGAATGACATTCAGTGAAGGGGTTGGAGTTCATGACTAACTTTTTTAGAAATATTTATCCAAGCAACCTCAAAGTACTGTACTGTGCTCTAAGGAAGATACTGAATAGCCAGAAACAGTGTTGCACCAACGTAGAATATACCTCTGAATGTAATGCCTTGATTTGGTAAAGACCCACCAATATCAGGAGCTAGATTAAAATATTATCTGATTGAGAGAGCAAGTCCTTTTGTGGCAACTATTTTAAAAAGTGCAATATTTCTCATTTTTTGGGGCAATTTTAAAAGTAGACTCAGCGAAATGACGTTGCCATGAGCAGCACACCGCAGATATTGAGATGAGCGAGATGCAGACTTCACTCTCACACAGTCACACAGTATCTTCGCATGTGTATGGGTTCGCTTCACACTGTTACAGCGGTTGGAGACAAAAACAGAGAAGTTGAAGCCTCGCGCTTCAAAACTCTTAGTTTGTTGCAGAAATTGACCCACTATGCTGTTTTACTTTATGCATCTACGTCATAATCGCTGAGTTTACCTTTGAAAGGCTGTGACAGAAATACTTTATTTATACCTTTGTCAATAAATCTGGCTAATTAAAATATTTATTGAGAACTATTTATCTGCAATGTTTGTCCTAATACAGAATATATATCACACAGCAGGTAGCGCACAAGATTTTGGGGCAACGTGATCAGCAATTTTAGGACTATCTCTCATCCTGCTTGTGACACGTTTCTGTGCCAATGTTTCTCATTGGGTCTGTAAGACAATAATTAATATTGCATACTTGTCTATATTTCTACCAAAGATGCAGTGTACAGTACAGATGTTAGATCCATGAGACATTTTCAAAACATTTTTATATTCCATTAGGAAGTACATTTTTAGAACTGTGATAAGCTATGTAGTGCTGGGAATGTGCTATTTTAAAAAAATATTACTGAAGGATCACCACATGAGCGAATTCCTAACCCTAAAATCTGCGCTGTTAACTTTGAGTCTCACTAGCATTTATTTTTATGCTTATTTCTTCACCAGTGTAGGGTTGAAAAAATCATGGTGTTTTTGTGACTGATTGTTGCTCTTTGCACATCTATATCTACAAATGTAGGACCTACTGATGGCAGTGTCAATCATTTTTGCAGATATTTACTGTAGAAAACTTTACTTTGGTAATTCCCAGTTGGAAATATGCAAGAAATGTCAGTATTTCCTTAAATCCTCTCCCTTCTCTCGAATCTTTCTTGCATTGTATTTCTCAGATGTGAAATGTGTCATATATTGTAGCACCCCCCCCCCCCCCCCCCCCCATTTGTGTATAGGGGTAGATAGTTTAGTTACATTGTTTTAAAGAGTTTGATCAATGCCTCTGAACCATGACATTCACCAAAGTACTGTTTACTTTTTGCCAACCTACCTTAAAAGGGATTTCTTTTTTTCATTAGTCCACATAATCATGATGATGTTGTATTAACAGTGGACTAAAGGAAAGAAATACCTAATATTGTTTGAGTGGATTTTCCCTTTAAGTTTAGTGTTTTTTTTTCCATTTATTTTCATCTTGCATTAACACCAATTAGTGTAATAAAAAGCATGAGCTGGTGCACACCCAGATAATATTGATTTAGTGTAGAGGTGCTGACTAACGGTGAATAAACTGGAAGCATAAATAGAGTCGCCCCCTTGTATAAACTCCCAGTCATTTCTTGTAAGAAACCACCAACGTTTCCGCATCAGGCACAGTATGCCGAACGTTGGTGGTTTCTTACTCATAATTACCCGGAGTTTATACATAGAGTGTGCGACTCTATTTGTTTTTTTAACAAGACCAATTAACCATGTAAACATCCCAATTAAACTGATGATGATGGAGGCTGAGTTGTCTAAACTTTACAAAATGATAATCTACTGGTCTGAGAGTTAAAAGCTGCACTTCTCTCTTCCCAATTGTGCTTTAGGATTGTTTTACTAGTTTTGGGAGGTTGTGCCTTTATCATAGCCACATCAGCCATTTTGTCCCCCCCCCCCCCCCCCAAAAAAATTTTTTTTAAAAAGGACAACAGTACAACTGAAACTGTACTTCACACAGTGCCTGTAAGGACATTTTTTAAAACAATAAAGTTAGAAATAATCTACCTATGTGTTCTGTTTTTTTTGATTTATCAACATGCATACTGGTAACTTAAATGTATGATGATACTCGTACAGTGGGAAAAAAGTATTTATCAGCCACCAATTCTACTGCATGGATAAGGATAGGTCAAGCTAAGCCGAGGGGGATGTCTCCTGCATAGATACGTCCTCCCTTAGATTATCCCTCTCCCTGCTCAGGAGACCTACCTAACACAAATCTCCTACCTATTCATATCTACTATTGACCCATTTCCCTAATAACCAATGGCTGTCCCGAAGTGACGGATTAGTTTTTCTGTATGGCGTTTAAACTTTCGTCTCAGGGCTGAGATTCCCCTGGGGGGGTGCAGGACTGAGGAGGCTTCTGTAGCTAGTAGAGAGAGAGTGAGAGAGAGTGGAGACATTTAGCAGGGCAGTGTTTGCCCTGTGCTTAGGCACACTGGCCACTCAACAGCTCCGTCTGTGGAGCTTTGTTATGTAGCCAACTCAGAGGGTCCTCCCAACCACCCTGACCCCAGACCCAGCCCACCTCACCCTGTTCCTGATGTGGCCCACAAACTAGGTCAAAGTCAGCCCCCTCACTCTTAATGAGACAGCATGTTATGTCAGGAGGAACAGCTGAATGCAATGCAGTGTTAAAGAACCATGTGGAAACTATGTAATGCTTAGAATTAACAGTATACAACATGCATATAAAAAGTTAATTTAGTATAGATCATGCATGTACAGGCACGGTATGCTTTAATATTAGTCTGCTATGCCTGCTACATGCTGAATGGCAACTAAAACAGGACTGTAAAATACCGTAACTACCCAGAATATAGTGTACAGAACAAGAATATAAAGAGTTTAGACAGTAGAAAACATACAAAGTACATGCAGTAAAGGAAGAGTTTTCCCAGTAGGCTATAAAAAATGAAAGCCTCCCCTCTCTCTCTCTCCAGGCTGCAGCGCGTCACCAGTGTTCCTTCCTGGTCTCTCTGCATGTGCGTGAGTTCTACAGGATGGGGGTGTGTCTGGACTGGCTGAAGGGCCTGCAGTACGTCCCTCAGAGACTGAGGAACCTCAACGAGATCAACAAGCTCCTAGCACACAGACCTTGGCTCATCACCAAGGTGCACATTCAGGTTAGAACACAAACATGCATAAAACACTCATATTCAAGTACATTATTCACATATGCACATATGATATCTATATCTATTCATAAACACAACTTTTATCCACATACGCACACAAAGTAACTCACAGTAAACCTCTTTCTCTCCCCCTCTACTTCAGAACTTGGTTAAGACAGGGGAGCACAGTTGGTCTTTGGCAGAGCTGGTCCATGCTGTGGTCCTATTGGCCCATTTCCATGCCCTGGCCAGCTTTGTGTTTGGCAGTGGCATCAACCCCCAGGTGGACACACCAAACGCCAATGGCTTCCAGTCAGTCTACATCAGCAACTACTGTACATGTGACCTGGCCAGCGACCATCACCTGGACCGAGATCTCAGCAGCACTAGCCCAGAGGTGAGATGACATGCATGACTTACTGTTGATCTATGCTTTACTTAGTTGATTTAGCTACGTGTGTGTTTGGAGGGATTGTATCTAAGTATGTGTAACTCTATTGTCATAATAATAGAGTTCTGGTTTGTTGTGTGTGTGTTTCAGACCACAGACTCGGTCAGTGAGTTGGAGGCGCTGATGGACAGAATGAAGAGGCTGCAGGAGGAGAGAGAGGAGGATGAGGCCTCGCAGGAGGAGATGGCCACACGCTTCGAGAAGGAGAAGAAAGAGAGCCTTCTGGTGGGCTCTGGAGGTACTGCAACCACACCTGTTCCTGTTGTCTCTCTCTCTCTGAGTGATGAAGTGATGACTGATTATGATCCATCTCTATTGTGACTCTGCAGATTTGGAGGATGAGGTGATGCCCACATCCAAAGTGTCTCGGTTTGTGGAGGATGCCACCTTTGGGTACCAGGACTTTGCTCGACACGGGGAGGACAATCCACCAACATTTAGAGCACAGGTCGGTGATAACTTCATCTTAATTCCACTGTCATGCCATAAGTGCAAGACCTATAGATTCAACAGTCACTTCTGAACAACTTCGCTCCTTCTCTCTGTCTCTGTCTGTAGGACTACTCGTGGGAGGACCATGGTTTCTCTCTGGTCAACAGGCTTTATTCAGACATCGGGCTGCTGCTGGACGACAAGTTCCGGACAGCGTGTGACCTGACCTACTACAACATGGCCAGTCACGAGGACGTGGACACCACCATGCTCCGACGTGCACTCTTCAACTACGTGCACTGCATGTATGGCATCAGGTAAGGCATCAGCGCCCTCTATCCTCAGTGCATGAGAAAAAAATAAAAATAAAAAAATAGAAATGTATGTGTAAGTGTGGACACTTAGCATCAATCAAGATAGTGTGATAATATTTAAATGAGTGAGTAAGTGATTATTGAAGCCCTGGAGTAGTCCGTAGCAGACCGTAAAGTGATGCTCCAGGCTTGATGCTTGATGTCCTGTCTGCAGATATGATGACTATGACTATGGGGAGGTGAATCAGCTATTGGAACGCAGTCTGAAGGTCTATATAAAGACCGTAACGTGTTATCCAGAGAGGACCACTCGTCGCATGTACGACAGCTACTGGAGGCAGTTCCGCCACTCCGAGAAGGTTAGAAAACTGCAGATGCTCGTGTTTGTGAGGGGGTATAATCTTATGGTGTTTGTGTACATGTGAATCCTTTGAAAAACAACCCTTTGCTTTGCCAAAGCATACACTGTCAACAGCCACAAAAAGGATCTTGTGAACCCTGATATGTCTTTGTAACTAGGCCAGAGTTCAGTGGCAGGGCTGGTCATGCTGTTAGATTGTTTGTGCAGGAGGCTTTGGCTCATGAGTACACTAGGACTATTGAGCAGAGCTGGAGGAAATGAAGCTCTTGGCAGCAGGAACATGCTGTTATTGTGTTTGAGTTGCAGAGAGCCCCCCTGTTGGAATCTGACTGGGCTGAAAGAGATGAAAGACGAGCGAGTTACACCGTGTATTATTCAAACCAGCAGCATAGAAATGGGTCATTGTCTTGTACTTAAAGCTCAGGTCAAGACAACCTGGAACAAACATCTCATCCCAGACGTAATGAGGACAGTAGCGTTCACCTCAGTTAGTAATTATGATGTCTGTACAAACCGCTTTTCCTTCAGACCCCATTAAAAAGTATTATCTCAACAGAATCTCTCACTTGGTTTACATATCAGACTCAGTGATGTCTCTTATAGCCTTGTGCTACATTCTGCAAATACATATCCATTTTACAGCTCAATGGCTGTCTCCATACTACAGTCCATACCATTCCAGTTATATAAAGTAACTGCACTGTGTTATAGTATGTATGGTATGCTAATCCTCTGGCCACCCTGCCCCCTCCAGGTCCATGTAAACCTACTCCTAATGGAGGCCAGGATGCAGGCAGAACTTCTATACGCCCTGCGCGCAATCACACGCTACATGACCTGACCCTGACCAACCACAGCGGGCCATCTGTCTCCAACTGACCAATAGAAACCCCAGCCCTCATCACCCCACCTCCCCCCAACACCACTACTGGCCTCTGGGAACCAGGAAACTGTCTCTCTACCAGGCACATGTCTCTAACACTGGCCTCTTGCTGGTTGGGACTTTGAGGTATTTTTAGCTTAGTGCCCTTTTACAGAGGAAGTATGTGAAGATGAAGGAAATCCTACTGTGAGTGTATAAAAATTGTGAAAACAGGGGTGCACGTTTGACTTCTCATCCTTCTTTGCCATAATCATAATGCCAGTTTGGCTTGAATGACATTCAGTGAAGGGGTTGGAGTTCATGACTAACTTTTTTAGAAATATTTATCCAAGCAACCTCAAAGTACTGTACTGTGCTCTAAGGAAGATACTGAATAGCCAGAAACAGTGTTGCACAACGTAGAATATACCTCTGAATGTAATGCCTTGATTTGGTAAAGACCCACCAATATCAGGAGCTAGATTAAAATATTATCTGATTGAGAGAGCAAGTCCTTTTGTGGCACTATTTTAAAAAGTGCAATATTTCTCATTTTTTGGGGCAATTTTAAAAGTAGACTCAGCGAAATGACGTTGCCATGAGCAGCACCGCAGATATTGAGATGAGCGAGATGCAAGACTTCACTCTCACACAGTCACACAGTATCTTCGCATGTGTATGGGTTCGCTTCACACTGTTACAGCGTTGGAGACAAAAACAGAGAAGTTGAGCCTCGCGCTTCAAAACTCTTAGTTGTTGCAGAAATTGACCCACTATGCTGTTTTACTTTATGCATCTACGTCATATCGCTGAGTTTACCTTTGAAAGGCTGTGACAGAATACTTTATTTATACCTTTGTCAATAAATCTGGCTAATTAAAATATTTATTGAGAACTATTTATCTGCAATGTTTGTCCTAATACAGAATATATATCACAGCAGGTAGCGCACAAGATTTTGGGGCAACGTGATCAGCAATTTTAGGACTTCTCTCATCCTGCTTGTGACACGTTTCTGTGCCAATGTTTCTCATTGGGTCTGTAAGACAATAATTAATATTGCATACTTGTCTATATTTCTACCAAAGATGCAGTGTACAGTACAGATGTTAGATCCATGAGACATTTTCAAAACATTTTTATATTCCATTAGGAAGTACATTTTAGAACTGTGATAAGCTATGTAGTGCTGGGAATGTGCTATTTTAAAAAATAATTACTGAAGGATCACCACATGAGCGAATTCCTAACCCTAAAATCTGCGCTGTTAACTTTGAGTCTCACTAGCATTTATTTTATGCTTATTTCTTCACCAGTGTAGGGTTGAAAAAATCATGGTGTTTTTGTGACTGATTGTTGCTCTTTGCACATCTATATCTACAAATGTAGGACCTACTGATGGCAGTGTCAATCATTTTTGCAGATATTTACTGTAGAAAACTTTACTTTGGTAATTCCCAGTTGGAAATATGCAAGAAATGTCAGTATTTCCTTAAATCCTCTCCCTTCTCTCGAATCTTTCTTGCATTGTATTTCTCAGATGTGAAATGTGTCATATATTGTAGCACCCCCCCCCCCCCCCCCCCATTTGTGTATAGGGTTAGATAGTTTAGTTACATTGTTTTAAGAGTTTGATCAATGCCTCTGAACTCATGACATTCACCAAAGTACTGTTTACTTTTTGCCAACCTACCTTAAAGGGATTTCTTTTTTTCATTAGTCCACATAATCATGATGATGTTGTATTAACAGTGGACTAAAGGAAAGAAATACCTAAATATTGTTTGAGTGGATTTTCCCTTTAAGTTTAGTGTTTTTTTTCCATTTATTTTCATCTTGCATTAACACCAATTAGTGTAATAAAAAGCATGAGCTGGTGCACACCCAGATAATATTATTTAGTGTAGAGGTGCTGACTAACGGTGAATAAACTGGAAGCTATAAATAGAGTCGCACACTCTATGTATAAACTCCCAGTCATTTCTTGGGTAAGAAACCACCAACGTTTCCGCATCAGGCACAGTGATGCCGAAACGTTGGTGGTTTCTTACTCAATAAATTACTGGGAGTTTATACATAGAGTGTGCGACTCTATTTGTTTTTATAACAAGACCAATTAGACCATGTATCATCCCAATTATAACTGATGATGATGGAGGCTGAGTTGTCTAAACTTTACAAAATGATAATCTACTGGTCTGAGAGTTAAAGCTGCACTTCTCTCTTTCCCAGATTGTGCTTCAGGATTGTTTTACTAGTTTTGGGAGGTTGTGCCTTTATCATAGCCACATTCAGCCATTTTGTCCCCCCCCCCCCCACCCCAAAAAAATTTTTTTAAAAGGACAACAGTACAACTGAAACTGTACTTCACACAGTGCCTGTAAGGACATTTTCAAAACAATAAAGTTAAGAAATACATCTACCTATGTGTTCTGTTTATTTGATTTATCAACATGCATACTGGTAACTTAATGTATGATGATACTCGTACAGTGGGGAAAAAAAGTATTTAGTCAGCCACCAATTGTGCAAGTTCTCCCACTTAAAAAGATGAGAGAGGCCTGTAATTTTCATCATAGGTACACGTCAACTATGACAGACAAATTGAGAAAAAAAATTCCAGAAAATCACATTGTAGGATTTTTAATGAATTTATTTGCAAATTATGGTGGAAAATAAGTATTTGGTCACCTACAAACAAGCAAGATTTCTGGCTCTCACAGACCTGTAACTTCTTGTTTAAGAGGCTCCTCTGTCCCCCACTCGTTACCTGTATTAATGGCACCTGTTTGAACTTGTTATCAGTATAAAAGACACCTGTCCACAACCTCAAACAGTCACACTCCAAACTTCACTATGGCCAAGACCAAAGAACTGTCAAAGGACACCAGAAACAAAATTGTAGACCTGCACCAGGCTGGGAAGACTGAATCTGCAATAGGTAAGCAGCTTGGTTTGAAGAAATCAACTGTGGGAGCAATTATTAGGAAATGGAAGACATACAAGACCACTGATAATCTCCCTCGATCTGGGGCTCCACGCAAGATCTCACCCTGTGGGGTCAAAATGATCACAAGAACGGTGAGCAAAAATCCCAGAACCACACGGGGGGACCTAGTGAATGTCCTGCAGAGAGCTGGGACCAAAGTAACAAAGCCTACCATCAGTAACACACTATGCCGCCAGGGACTCAAATCCTGCAGTGCAAGACGTGTCCCCCTGCTTAAGCCAGTACATGTCCAGGCCCTTCTGAAGTTTGCTAGAGTGCATTTGGATTATCCAGAAGAGGATTGGGAGAATGTCATATGGTCAGATGAAACCAAAATAGAACTTTTTGGTAAAAACTCAACTTGTCGTGTTTGGAGGACAAAGAATGCTGAGTTGCATCCAAAGAACACCATACCTACTGTGGAGCATGGGGGTGGAAACATCATGCTTTGGGGCTGTTTTTCTGCAAAGGGACCAGGACGACTGATCCGTGTAAAGGAAAGAATGAATGGGGCCATGTGTCGTGAGATTTTGAGTGAAAACCTCCTTCCATCAGCAAGGGCATTGAAGATGAAACGTGGCTGGGTCTTTCAGCATGACAATGATCCCAAACACACCGCCCGGGAAACGAAGGAGTGGCTTCGTAAGAAGCATTTCAAGGTCCTGGAGTGGCCTAGCCAGTCTCCAGATCTCAACCCCATAGAAAATCTTTGGAGGGAGTTGAAAGTCTGTGTTGCCCAGCGACAGCCCCAAAACATCACTGCTCTAGAGGAGATCTGCATGGAGGAATGGACCAAAATACCAGCAACAGTGTGTGAAAACCTTGTGAAGACTTACAGAAAACGTTTGACCTGTGTCATTGCCAACAAAGGGTATATAACAAAGTATTGAGAAACTTTTGTTATTGACCAAATACTTATTTTCCACCATCATTTGCAAATAAATTCATTAAAAATCCTACAATGTGATTTTCTGGATTTTTTTTCCTCATTTTGTCTGTCATAGTTGACGTGTACCTATGATGAAAATTACAGGCCTCTCTCATCTTTTTAAGTGGGAGAACTTGCACAATTGGTGGCTGACTAAATACTTTTTTCCCCCACTGTATGTGTGTATCTGTAACATCAGTCAACATTTTAATATCATAAATCATTCTAGAGATAGAAAAACAGTGGAATGAAAATTAGGCTATTTTGAAAAATGTCTCCCACAAATAGGCATACTGTAAAACCGCGTTTCAAAATTGCTGTTTGACCTCAGAGGTTCGATTGGTTAGCTAGACATGATAATGCCACAGAACAATGAGCCAGATATTTCATTGGATGTATAAGTGTGAAGCATCCGCTTGGAGTTTCCACTCACTACCAAATATGGTAATGAGAGGAAGCCCAGTGACCGGCAATGGGAGAAGCAAGATGGATTTTATTTTATTAAGTTTGCCAATTAACATCTGAATGATTCAGAGGAGAACTGGGTGAAAGTGTTGTGGTCAGATGAGACCAAAATCGAACTCTTTGGCATCAACTCAACTCGCCGTGTTTGGAGGAGGAGGAATGCTGCCTATGACCCCAAGAACACCATCCCCACCGTCAAACATGGAGGTGGAAACATTATGCTTTGGGGGTGTTTTTCTGCTAAGGGGACAGGACAACTTCACCGCATCAAAGGGACGATGGACGGGGCCATGTACCGTCAAATCTTGGGTGAGAACCTCCTTCCCTCAGCCAGGGCATTGAAAATGGGTCGTGGATGGGTATTGCAGCATGACAATGACCCAAAACACACGGCCAAGGCAACAAAGGAATGGCTCAAGAAGAAGCACATTAAGGTCCTGGAGTGGCCTAGCCTTAATCTATAATACCTTAATCCCATAGAAAATCTGTGGAGGGAGCTGAAGGTTCGAGTTGCCAAACGTCAGCCTCGAAACCTTAATGACTTGGAGAAGATCTGCAAAGAGGAGGGACAAAATCCCTCCTGAGATGTGTGCAAACCTGGTGGCCAACTACAAGAAACGTCTGACCTCTGTGATTGCCAACAAGGGTTTTGCCACCAAGTACTAAGTAATGTTTTGCAGAGGGGTCAAATACTTATTTCCCTCATTAAAATGCAAATCAATTTATAACATTTTTGACATGCGTTTTTTCTGGATTCTTTTGTTGTTATTCTGTCTCTCACTGTTCAAATAAACCTACCATTACAATTATAGACTGATCATGTCTTTCTCAGTGGGCAAACGTACAAAATCAGCAGGGGATCAAATACTTTTTTCCCTCACTGTACATGCTAGAACACGCCAATAGGATCTTGTTAGCGCGTTCTTGGCTCTGCCCCCCTCCTCTTAGGATCCCTAACCCTGCAACAGCATACGACACCTTCTGCACTACTCTGATCCTGGCAACCTCAACCTGCCTTTCTCTCACCAGACACCTCTGACCTCCAGCATCATGGGTACCCCTACAGTTTACACACACACATTTTCCCACCGATACACCTTCCTTCGTATCATGTCCTTCTGCACACTTATCAGTTGATCCTCCTCAACATTTAACGCCACTCCAGTTATCACTCCTTTCAACGGTGCCCTGCTTCCGGAGAGGAAAGCA